GTGTAGATTAGGGGGATGGGTCTGGGTGGGATATTCTGAGTCAGTGTGGATTTGTTGGGCCAAAGGGCCTGTTTCCACACTGTAGGGATTCTATGATTTAGAATTCTTTGAGGAGGTAACGAGCAAGTTGGACAAAGGAGAGCCACTGGATGTGATTTGTTGGGATCTCCAGAAGGTCTTTGACAAGATGTCGCACAGGAGACTGCTAAATAATATAAGAGCCCATTGTGTTAGGGGCAAGATGGAAGATTGGCTGACTGGCAGAAAGCAGAGACCAGGGATTAAGGGGTCTTTTTCAGAATGGCAGCCAGTGACTAGCAGACTTCTGTAGAGGTCAGTGTTGGGACCACAACTATTCAATTATACGTTAACAATCTGGAAGAAGGAACTAAGGTTACACTTACAGATGACACAAAGATAAGTGGACAGGCAAGTAGTATTGAGGAAGCAAGGAGGCTGCAGAAGGACTTGGACATATTTGGTGAGTGGGCAACATAGTGGCAGATGGAAGAAAATGTGATATAATGTGAGGCATCTTGGCAGGAATAATGCAGGTGTAGACTATTTTCTAACTGGGGAAAGGCTTTGAAAATATGAAATGCAAATGGACTTGGGAGACCTGGTTCAGGATTCTCTTAAGGTTAACATGTAGGTTCAGTTATAGCATCATTGAGGTCCACAGCGTGGAAACAGGTGCTCACGCCACCCAGTTTTCACAATGTAAACTAGTCCCATTTGCCTTCGTTCAGTCCATCTCCCTCCATACCTATTTCATCTACATACCTGTCTAAATGTTCCTTAAATTATGAAATTGTACTCACTCCCACCACTACCTCTGGTAGTCTTGTCCAGATACTCACCACCCACTGTGTGAAAAAATTGTCTCTCTGGACTCTTTTGTATCTCTACCCCTCATCTTAAATCTATGCCCTCTAGTTTTAGACTCTCCTACCATGGGGAAATGTTGTTAGCTATCTATGTTATCTATGCCCCTCATGATTTAATAGACCTCTATAAGGTCACCCCTCAGTCTCCCGTGCTCCAGGGAAAAAAGTCCCAGCCTATCCAACCTCTTCTTATAATTCAAAGTTTCCAATCTAGGTAGCATCCTAGTAAATCTTTTCTGCACAATTTCTATTTTAATAATATTCTTTCTCTGTTAGGGCGGTCAGAACTTGCTGTTAGGTAGGCAAATGCTGAGCCTATATAAGGCTCTGGTCAGACTGCATTTCGAACATTGTGAGCAGTTTTGAGCCCCGTACTAAGGAAAGATGGGCTAGCTTTGGAGGGGGTTCAGAGAAAGTTTACAAGAATGATCCAGGGGATGAAGGTCTTGTCATATGAGGAGCACTTAGGGACTAGATGTCTGTAATCGACAGCATTTAGCAGGATGAGGGGGGGATTGATACTTACAGAATACTGAGAGGTCTAAATAGAGTGGACATGGAAAAGAAGTTTCCACAAGTGGAAGAAACTAGGACTCTGGGATACAGCTTCAGGGTGAGATGACAACTTTTTAGAACTGAGATGAGGAAGAATTTCTTCAGCCAGAGGGTGGTGACTCTGTGCTACTCATTGCTAAACAGGGCTGCATGTTAACCTTAAGAGAATCCTGGACTAGGACTTCCAAGTCCCTTTGAACTTAAGATTTCCAAAGCCTTTCCCCATTTTCTTCATACCAATATGTATAACCTCATACTTTGCTACATTGTATTTCATCTGCCACTTCTTGGCCTACTTGCTGATCATTTTCAAGTCCTTCTGCAGCTTCCCTGATTTCTCAACACTATGTGTCCCTCCACCTATCCTTGTGTCATCAGCAAACTTAGCAACAATTTCCTCAGTTCCTTTGTCCAAATCATTAATGTATAATGTGAATAGTTGTGGTCCCAGCACTGATGTCTGCAGAACTCCACTAGTGACTGGCCGCCATTCTGAAAAAGATCTCTTTATCCCTAGTCTCTGCCTTTTGCCAGTCAGCCAATCCACTACCCATGCCAGCACCTTGCCCTAACAACATGGGATCTTATCTTATTTAGCAGCCTCCTGTGTGGTACCTTGACAAAGGCCTTCAGGAAATCCAAACAGATTGCAACCATTGGCTTTCCTTTGTATGACGTTCTCATTACCTCAAAGAATTGTAACAGATTTGTCAGGCATGTCCTCCCTTGACTAAGCCTTGCTGATCTCACCCTACGTAACCATGCACTTCCAAACACCCCACTCTCACTCATAATAATGGACTCTAAAATCTTACCAATGACTGAGTTCAGGCTAACCGGCCTACAGTTCCCTGGCTTCTGCCTTCCTCCCTTCTTAAACATGGTGTTATATTAGCCATTTTCCAGTCCTCTGGGACCTTCCCTGACTCCAGTAAGTCCTGAAAGATCACCACCAATGCCTCTACAATCTCCTTTTCTTGAGATCTGCTACCAAACTGATTTTCCCAGTCCACATGCATATCAAAGTCCCCCATGATTATTGTAATTGTGTGTTTAGAACATACAACATAGAACAGTACAGTACAGGCCCTTTGGCCCATGATGTTGTGCTGATCTATTATCCTGTTAAAATCAAACTACCCTGCATACCCTACATTTTACTATCCTTCATGTGCCTATCCAAGAGTCGCTTAAAAGTCTCCAAAGTATCTGACTCCACCACCACTGCCGGCAGTGCATTCCACACACCCACCACTCTCTGTGTAAAGAACCTACCTCTGACATTTCCCCATACCTTCCTCCAATCACTTTAAAATTATGCCTCCTCGTAATAGTCATTTCCACCCTGGGAAAATATCTCTGGCTATCCAGTCTATCTATGCCTCTCATCATCTTGTAAACCTCTATCAAGTCACCTCTCATCCATCTTCGCTCCAATGAAAAAAGCCCTAGCTCCTCAACTTTTCCTCATAAGACCTGCCCTCCCGTCCAGGCAACATCCTGGTCAATCTCCTCTGCTTCCACATCCTTCCAATAATGAGGTGACCAGAACTGAACACAATAATCCAAGTGTGGTCTAACCAGAGTTTTACACAGCTGCAGCATAACCTCACGGCTCTTAAACTCAATTCCCCTGCCAATGAAAACCAACACCATATGCCTTCTTTACAACCCTATCAACTTGGGTAGCAACTTTGAGGGATCTATGGACGTGGACCCCAAGATCCCTCTGTTCCTCCACACTACCAAGAATCCTGCCATTAACCCTGTATTCTGCATTCAAATTCGACCTTCCAAAATGAATCTCTACACACTTTTCTGAGTTGAATTCCATCTGTCACTTCTTTGCCCAGCTCTGCATTTTGTCAATGTCCCACTGCAACCTACAACAGCCCTCCACGCTGTCCACGACTCCACCAACCTTCGTGTCATCGGCAAACTTACTAACCCACCCTTCCACTTCCTCATCAAAATCATTTATAAAGATCACAAAGAGCAGAGGTCCCAGAACAGATCCCTGTGGAATACCACTGGTCACCGAGCTCCAGGCTGAATGCTTTCCATCTACTACCACCCTCTGTCTTCTATTGGACAGCCAGTTTTGTATCCAGACAGACAAATTTCCCTGAATCCCATGCCTCTTTACTTTCTGAATGAGCCTACCATGTAGAACCTTATCAAATGCCTTGCTAAAATCCATATACACCACATCCACTGCTCTGCCTTCTTCAATGTGTTTTGTCACATCCTCAAAGAATTCAATAAGGCTCATGAGGCATGACCTGCCCCTCACAAAGCTATGCTGACTATTTCTAATCAAACTGTGTTTTTCCAAATAATCATAAATACTATCTCTCAGAATCCTCTCCAATAATTTGCCCACCACAGAAGTAAGACTGTAATTTCCAGGATTATCCCTATTCCCTTTCGTGAAAAAGGGAATGACATTTGTCACTCTCCAATCTTCTGGTACTACTCTAGCGGACATTGAGGACACAAAGATCATCGCCAAAGGGGCAGCAATCTCTTCCCTTGCTACCCCTAGTAACCTTGGCTATATCCTGTCTGGCCCAGGGGACTTATCTATCTTCATGTTTTTCAAAATTTCCAGCACATCCTCCTTCCTAACATCAACCTGTTCAAGCATATCTGCCTGTTTCATACTGTCCTCACAAATGTCAAGGTCCCTCTCACTGGTGAATACTCAAGCAAAGTATTCATTAAGGACCTCCCCTACCTCCTCCGACTCCTCGCACAAGTTCCCCTCCACTATCCCTGATTGGCCTTCTCCTCACTCTGGACATCCTGTTGTTCCTCACATAAGCATAGAACGCCTTGGGGTTTTCCTTGATCCTACCCGCCAAGGTTTTCTCATACTCCCTTCTAGCTCTCCTAAGTCCATTCTTCAGTTCCTTCCTGGTTACCTTGTAGACCTCTAGAGCCCTGTCCGATCATTGCTTCCTCAACCTTAAGTAAGCTTCCTTCTTCCTCTTGACTAGATGTTCCATAAGTCTTGTCATCCAAGGTTCCTTCACCTTACCATCCCTTCCTTGCTTTTTCTATCTCCTGATTTATTTTCTTCCCCACAACCCGAATACTGTGAGAAGGCCTGTACTTAAAACCCACGGTCTTTTTTCCTTTTCAGCTCCTCGACTCAACCCACATAGATTCTACAACTTCCAAGTCTATATCGCTTCTTGCTATTGATTTAATTCCATTTCTTACAAACACGACAACCCATCCCGCCATCTGCCTGTCCTCTCAACATTAACCTGTATCCTTGGAAATTTACTTCCCAGCCTGACCCGCCTGCAGCCAGGTCTCTGTGATACCCACACCGTACCTGCCAATTTCAAGCCGCGCTACCAGCTCATTTACAAGTTTCTTATACTGCATGCATTTTTAGTATAAATCCTCTGTCCCGCGTTGACTGACCCTCCCCCCCTCATAATTCACCTTATCTGCTAGGATCCCGACCATACTTTATGTCCTATTATTTGTTCTGGGAACTTTAATAGCCTCTCCTGAGCCCTCCCCCTTTGACTCTTCCCAACAGTGCCGGCTGGGGGCGGGGTCGGGCCGGTTCAGGGGTCAAGTCGGGTTTCCGTGGTGTCAACGCTTTGCGGCCTACCGTCGGCAGCGCTGTTTTGGAGCGGGCCGCCGAGTGTAAGCGGGCGATATATCCGACATGGAAAGCAGAGCGTTCAGGAACCCGTACCCCGATTATGAAGGGCTGGCTTCTATACAGAGGCTGTTTGACTCCGCCGGGAATGTGAGTGAGACCCCGGGGAGGGGGATAGAGTGAGAGACATATTATGACCGCGGGGGTTGGGAGGTGTGGGGCGATTGAGAATCAGGGATACAGTGAGGGAAAGACACTGATTGCAGGGGGAAGGGGAGGGAAAGGAAAAATGAGGGACACAATGACTTCTGATGAGCTGGAATGAGGGATTCGCTCTGACCACGAGCGTGGGGGAAGTGGGAGATTCACGTTCAGCCAAGGGTTGGAGTGATTGAGACAGAATGGCTGCAGGATTGAGGTGGGTTACACACTGGACTTGAATAAAGTCTGGAGTGCGAGGTGGACAGGAACTGCCCTGGTGTGTGTTTGGGAACTGATTATTATTATAGGAGCAGGAGTAGAACATTTAGCTCATCGACTCTGTTTCATTCGATATCATGGCTGATCATCTGCTTCAATTCCCAAGCTATTCTCTTAGCCCTTAATATCACTATTAGAAATCTATCAATTTCTGTCTTGAACATACTCAGTGATTGAGACTCCACAGACTCTGGGTTATGAATTCCAAAAATTCACCACCCTCTAAATGAAGAAATTTCTCTTCATCTCAGTTCTAAATGGCCTATACCGTATTCTGAATTTGTATCCCCAGGTTCTAGACACCGTCGCAAGGAAAATGTCCTTTCTTTATCTGCTGTATCTTTTTCAGAATTTTGAGGGTTTCTATGAGAAGCCCTCTCATTCTTTTAAACTCCAAGAAATACAGGCCTATACTCCTCAATCTCTTCTTGTAGGACGGTCCCATCATCCCAGCATTCAGTCTGACAGACCTTCACTACACTCTCTCTATGGCAAACATATCCTTCCTTCAGCAAGCAGACCAGAACTGTACACAATAAAACCGAAAGAACTGCGGATGCTGAAAATAAGGAACAAAAACAGAAGTTGCTGAAAAAGCTTAGCATGTCTGGCAGCATCTGTGAAGAAAAATATCACAATTCTGAGTTAACAGTTCTGAGGAAGGGTCACCGGACCCAAAATGTTAACTATGATTTTTTTCTTCATAGATGCTGCCAGACCTGCTCACCTTTTCCAGCAACTTCTGTTTTTGTTCACTTCTCTAGATGTGGTCTCATCTATGTTCAATAGAAATGAAGCAAGATGATTTTGCTCCTGTGCTCAAATCCTCTTGTGATAAAAGCCAACATACTGTTTACATCACAACAGATTGTTGCACTTGCAGTTTTCAATGACACCCAAGTCCCTTTGGACATCAACACTTTCCAATCAGAGATAGTAGGAACTGCAGATGCTGGAGAATCCGAGACAACAAGGTGCAGGGCTGGATGAACACAGCAGGCCAAGCAGCATCATAGGAGCAGAGAGGCTGACGTTTCGGGCCTAGACCCTTCATCAGAAAAGGGGGAGGGGAAGGGGGTTTTGAAATAAATAGGGAGAGAGTGGGAGGCGGATAGAAGAGGGATAGAGGAGAGGAAACAAACAGGTCGAAGAGGCGGGGATGGGGCCAGGAAAGGTGAGTGTAGGTAGGGAGTTAGGAAGGGGATAGGTCAGTCCAGGGAGGACGGACAGGTCAAGGGGGCAGGATGAGGTTGGTCGGTAGGAGATGGAGGTGCGGCTTGAGGTGGGAGGAGGGGATAGGTGGGAGGAAGAACAGGTTAGGGAGGCAGGGACGAGTTGGACTGGTTTTGGGATGCGGTGGGGGGAGGGGAGATTTTGAAACTTGTGAAATCCACATTGATACCATTGGGCTGCAGGGTTTCCAATCTCTGTTTATTGAAGAAATACTTTGCACTTTCGTTCCTCTCACCAAAGTGTGTAAGGTCATACTTGCCCACATTATATCTGCCGTACATTTAGTCACTCACTCATTCAGCCTGTCTAAATCCCCTGAAGCCTCTTTGCATCCTCTGCATAACTCACATTCCCATCAAGTTTAACCTCGTCTGCAAAGTTGGAAATATCACAATTGACCCCGACATTCTCATATCGATCATTGTAACAGCCCACTGTTCACAGCCTGGCAACCTGAGAATGGCCCATTTACTCCTACATTGTGCGTTGAATCCTCAATTCATGTCAGTATGTTACCCCCAATCCCATGTATTTACTAACATCCTATGTAAGACTTTACCGAAAGCCTAGTGAAACTAGTGCATGGCAGGTTAGCAATGTGAGTATTTAACTGACACTGCAGTGTTGTAGTAACAAGATATTAACTAACTGGCAGTGGGTGGGTGGAAAGTGTTTAGGAAGGAGCTACTAAATGGTCTGGGTGTAGGTTTAGCTTAGTCAACTGGACAGCTAGTTTGCAATGCAGGTTAACTCCACCAGCGTGGGTTCAATAACTGCACCAGCTGAGCTCATTCTCCTTCTTGTCCTCACCCTTTGCCTGAGATGTGGTGAGCCTCGGGTTAAAACACCACCAGCTGTGTCTCTCTAAATGAGAGAGTGGCCTTATGATCTGGTAAGGCTATGGCAACTTTACCTTTTACTAATTGGCCTGGAGGTGTCAGAAACAACTGGCTGCAATTCATTCAAACTGCGGCAGTCAGGACTTTGAAGTTCCAGAAGAGAAGGGGAGTGTTTAAGGGGATGGGGGGTGTGTGTGGGGCGATTGAGAAACTGTTTTCTCAGTTTCTGGCTCTTCTGCATAATGCTCCTGAAAGTACAATATCTACCTGATTCTCAGCCAGCTTTACATGCAGCAGTTTAGATGTTCCTGTCCCTCAGTTGTAAATCCTCTACTGTGCATCTGCTGAGCTGCCATTTCTGTTTCAGAACAGTCCTGACCCTTCAAGTGCCTAAAACCTTCAGTTTTCCATTCGCCTTGCAGTTGCCACTTGCTGCCTCTCAACACTAATTTCTCTGAGCACCCAACAGTAGCCACTAATGCCAATACCTTTATTTTATCAATTTTTAACCAGTCACTCTCCTCTAAGTGTTTCTGTGTCTTTTTTTTTCAGGCTCCAGTGGTTGTTTTGTTTTCCAGACATGTAGTTTATTCATAAAGTTTATAAAGAAAATATAGATTACAAAATATTTAAACACTTGAATATTGCAATATTTGCGAGAAAATTCATAGTCGACTTGATGCAATTGTAATAGAATATGATTTGTAAATATAAAGTCTATGTTGGCATGGATAGAGACCGTAAGACTATAAGAAATAGGAACAGGAGTAGGCTGTTAAGTCCCAAGAGCTTGCTGCACCATTTAGTAGGGTCATGGCTCATCTGATATTCCTCACGTCCATTTTCCTGCCCTTTCCCCATAATCCTTGATTCTCCAACCAATCAAGAATGTACCTATCTTAGCTTTACCTGTACACAAGGGCTCTGCCCTCACAGCTCTCTGTGTCAAGGAGTTCCAAAGACTCCCAAACCCCTGAGAGAAGAAATTCTTCCTCAACTCAGTCTTAAAATGGCTCCCCTTACATCTCCAACTTTGCCCTCTCGTCCATGACAGAAAACATCCTCTCTCAGCATTTATCCTGTCAAGCCCCTTAAGAATCTTATGTGTTTCAATCAGATCACCCCTCATTCTTCTAAACCCCAGTGAGTAGAGTCCCAACCTGTTTAACCTTTGCTCACAAGACGATTCAAACCGGGGATCATCCTGAAGAACCTTATCTGAAGTGCCTCCAATGAAATAATATCTTTTCTTAGATAAGGTGACCAAAACTGTTAGCATTACTCCAGACATAACAAGGTGTAGAGCTGGATGAACACAGCAGGCCAAGCAGCATCATAGGAGCAGGAAGGCTGACATTTCGGGCCTAGACCCTTCATCAGAAATGGGGGAGGGGAAAGGGGTTCTGAAATAAATAGGGAGAGAGGGGGAGGCGGATAGAAGATGGATAGAGGAGAAGATAGGTGGAGAGGAAACAGACAGGTCAGAGGCGGGGATGGAGCCAGTAAAGGTGAGTGTAGGTGGGGAGGTAGGGAGGAGATAGTCAGTCCAGGGAGGACGGACAGGTCAAGGGGGCGGGATGAGGTTAGTAGGTAGGAAATGGGGGTGCGGCTTGAGGTGGGAGGAGGGGATAGGTGGGAGGAAGAACAGGTTAGGGAGGCGGGGACGAGCTGGGCTGGTTTTGGAATGCGGTAGGGAGAGGGGAGATTTTGAAGCTTGTGAAATCCCGATAGCATTACTCCAGATATGGTCTCACCAGCACTTCATACAGTTGCAGTAAGACTTCCCTACTCTTATGCTCCAACCCCCTTGAAATAAAGACCAACATTCCATTAGCCTTCCTTGTTACCTGCTGCACGAGTGCTAGCTTTCTGTGGTTCATGCACAAATACCCCCAGATCCCTTTATGTTGCAGTTTTTCTCCATCTAAATAATCATGTTCTTGTGTTCTCCCTTCCAAAATAAACAATTTTCTACTTTCCCACAATGTACTCCATTTGCCAATTTTTGGCCCACTTTATTTATTAATATCTCTCTGTAAACTGTTTGTATCCCTCTTGCAACCTGCCTTTCCACCTATTTTTGTGTTGTCTACAAACTTGGCTACATTACATTTGCTTCCTTCCTCGAAGTCATTAATATATGTTTGTAAGCTGTTGGCATCCCAGCACTGAACCCCACTGGTCAGAAGTTACGAACCTGATAAGAAAAAACTCTTGTCCCCACTGGCTGTTTCCTGTCCATGAGCCAATTCTCTGTCCATGCTAATGTATAACCTCCAACGCCGCGAGTTCTTATGACTTAACATTTTGTGTGGTACCTTATTGGCCTTCTGGAATTCCAGATGCAACATATCTAATGCCTCCTCTCTGTACGCTCTGGTTGAGACTTCCTCAAAAAACTCTAATAGAGTACTCAGATACGATTTCCCTTTCATGAAACCATGCTGACTCTGCTTCCAAATATGCTGCTGTTACTTCCTTAATAATTGATTCCAATACTTTTCCAACAATAGATATTAGGCATTTGGTTTCTCGTTACCTGCATTTTGCCTCCTTCCGTTTTTGAATAGGGGTGTCACATTGACAGTTTTCCAATCCTCTAGTACTTTTCCAGAATATAAGAATTTTTGGAAAATTACAACCAATGCAACCACTATCTCTGTAGCAGTCTTTTTTTTAAGATCCTTGGATGCAAGCCATAAGGGCAAGGGACTTATTAGTTTTTCTAATACTAATCTCTAGTGATGGTGATGGTACTTAATTCCTCCCCTTATTCACTAGTATTAATGCGATATTTGAAGTGTCTTCCACAGTAAAGACTAATGCAAAATATCTAAGGGAAAAGATATTTTAAAACTGAAAATTATAGGAAGTGCAATAGATTTTTTTGTCAAGTGCAAAGTGCTTCAATGAATTTTTAACCCTCTTGTTTTACACCATACGTTCTTTGTGAGGTACACAGTCCTAGGGGTACAACTGCTCCCAGCATGTGTTGTATCTTCTCCAGGTTGCCATCTCATGCATAAGCATGCCTGTTTCTGCTTCTGGCATGTTCTTCCAACTTTCTGGCCCAGCACTGCGGTAGGGGTATGTCAGGTTCGGGTTTGTGGTGAAGTACAGTGCCTGCAATGCCTCAGTGCCAAGTTTTGAATTGCTGGATCTGTTTTGAATCTATCCCATTTAAGATGATAGTAGTATTGCAGGACACGAAGCTTGTCCACAGTGTGAAGACAGTACTTGCTGTCAGTGAGGATCAGGCTCACTGCTACATACCATCAAGGGCAGACTGATTTGTGTCAGATAAATGGTCACGAGAACATTATGTAGGTGATCCCCTTATTTTGCTTTTTCTCACCAGCTAATACAAGCCAAGCGTGTGGTTTATGGACCTTGCCAGTTGCTTCCAAGGTGATGTTGGGAAGCCAGTTGTGGGGATGTTGACGATCTGCACCCAGCATGCATCTTTTACTCTTTAACTACTCATGATGGTACTTCATGAACTGAGTGAGGGTGGTCAATGGTAATCAGCAGGAAGTATCCTTGCCTATCTTTGACCTTAATTCAAAAGTGTTCACAGAATCTGGAGTAAATATTGAGGGCTTCTGGGGAATGTACAACAAAGTGAATTGCTCTGGTCTTCAGAAAGTTGACTATGTACTTCATCATCTTAAACATTGGAAACATACATATGCTATGGGATCTGTACAGGGTTCTACAGAGTCCATGCACGATTCGACAGAGCTCATTGTTCAATCACCCGTTTATGTTTTGTAGCAAAATAAAATAGAATTAATTACGTTGTTTAGTCAGTAGCAGCCTTGTATTCTTTTATGCACTGTTGATTTTAGTTAATCTAATTGGTCTTTAAAAAGATCTCCACTGTAAGCAAAACTTTTTTTTAAAATTACTAGTGCAGAATTTTATCGGGGGTAGAAAGGGAATGATAAAAGTTGAAGTTGGCTCAAAGATGCCTATCCTTTAAAAATATAGTTGGCAATAATGTCTCTGAAATGCCTCTGGTAAGTCAGCGGGAATGCCTCATGTTCTGAAATGTGTGGATTCTGACATTCAGAGTACTGATCTGCATTCAATCATTTTTAACATGCAGGGTTGACTTGTCACTTCCACTTGATTTGTATTTTGTAAATATTTTGAGGTAAATTAATATTTTAATTCATACCCTGGTACTATCCTCAAGCAAATGTAGATTTATGACAGTGTGTCAGCAGATTGTCCAGCTAATATGGGCTAATAGCCATTATGTCTTTGTACATTGGCTGAAAATAGTCACTGATAGTGCGAATGTGCAAAAGACAGCAGGAGATGAGAATGGTGTGAATCGGTTCTATGTGTCGACCTGAACTAAGGACGCAGAATAGCCTTGTTTTCATTTTTGTTGATCTTGGCTAAGAATGCAGAAGCATCTTACTTTCTTAATGCTTTACAGTTAACCAGTGACTTCATTCAGCAACTGCAGAGCAAGATCAGTGAATTATTGCAGCATATGGAAAATGGGTTGATAAAGGGTGATGAAACGGACTGCACCAGCTACACTGGATGGGCAGGTACTATTAGCGCTGCAAAACTGAGAAGCAATTATTGTGTGCACCCAGAAACCATCAAGGTTACACTTTGTATATTTGAATACTGAAAATTGTGTGTTTGATGTCATCAGGATAACAACTAGACATTTTCTGAATGAAAAGATGACTTTAAGGTAACGAGTTTGATTTTTCTATTTGGTAAAAATTGGTGCAAATGAAGTATTCAGGCACTCAGCGGATTCACAAAATGAAAAGTAATTCAGGCCACACCAATCAATGCAAAAAATATTTTGTAGTTGATTTACATGCTCTTCCTACTCTGCTCCCTCACTTAAAATTAAATCTTGTTGTAATGTCACTTTCTCTCACTCTTCTTTACTCAGAGCTTCAAGTTCTTCAAAAGCCCTTAGCACCTCCATTGTTTTCTTCCTACAGCTTTCTAAAACCCAACTTTTGGGTAACCTGGTGAACACACCTAATTGCCCTTGCCTCATAAACCTGATGGTATTGGCCTTATGGGTTTTAACTCCAGAAATACACGAAGAGAAAGATATTTTCAACCAAACAGTATAAAATAACCTCAAGGAGCGTCTAGTTATGGTTCTGACTGAAGGTATGTTGAAGCAATGTAGAATTTGAGAACTAAAACAGGGATTTATTTGAGTACAGGTACTGTGAGATCTCCCAAATCTGACGTGTGAAGAATTAATATTTGTATATTGTGGGAGAACATTTGACCCAAGAAAAAGAGACAAAATATGGGGAAATAAAGACACACAGGCTGGCTCTAAATAACAGAAGGGAAAGTTAGATGTTGATGAACATCACCAGAATGCTGTGCAGAATTCAGCTTGAGAATGCAAATTTTCCAGAATTGATTTTCAGATGAAATACATTTGTTTAGGAACACAGAAATGTAGTTTGACGTAAATTGCTGTTTGCATAGGTGTTTTACAGGGGTTGCTGATTTTGGGAGTTGTTTTTATTGTTTGTGTTCATATGGAAAAGTACCAGTAGGTAGCAGTGACCTCAGTAAGGGCAGTAGGAGTGACGGGACTGAGATTTGACTAGACTAGAGGGAACATGTTGGAAGATAGTGCAGTCCAGTCCAGTGTTGATAACTGTTTTGGTCACTGATATTTGCAGTAGGTTTCAGATAACCTTAAAGGTTGTGGCATAACCTGCATTTCTGATAACCTTGAAATTGCTTGGTGATGACGTTAATCAATGGCCTTTGACTAAACTGGTAATGCACTGGAGTAATAGCTTTCAAGAATTGACTTTGATATACAGGTTAAAATTATTTACTGTGCCAATTTAATTTCCTGTTTTCTAGATTAGGAATTGTATGTTATCAGCAGACTTGTTGAATTCAATTCACAAGCAGAAATACTGAATGAGTTAATCTGACTGATCATAGAAGCCCTACAGTTGTAGAAACAGGCCATCTAGCCCAACAGGTCCACACCAACCCTCCGAAGAACATCCAACCCAGAACCATCCCCCTACCCTGTCCCTGTAACCCTGCATTTCTCTTGACTAACCTACCTAGCCTGCACATCCCTGAACACTATGGGCAATTTAGCATGGTCGATCCATCTCACTTGCACATCTTTGGACTTTGGGAGGAAACCGGAGGACCCGGCGGAAACCCACGCAGACACGGGGAGAATGTGCAAACTCCACACAGTCGCCCAAGGGTGGAATCGAACCCAAATTCCTGGCGCTGTAAGACAGCAGTGCTAACGACTGAGCTACTGTACTGACTGATATTTTATTCACTCAGCAGTTCTGTCACTATTATCTCACAGAATAATGTAGGATAATAGGTCAGCACAACATAATGGGCCGAAGGGCCTGTACTGAGCTGTACTGTTCTATGTTCTAGAATGTAATGGTTGTAACAACATGATAATTCCTTGACTAAATCTAATAGTAAGAGCATAACATCTATAAAAAGTAAAACATCTATAAAAACAGATGGAAAATAGAATTCAACAAACATTGTTATTTTCAGCAATTTTTCCTTTCAGTTTAGTTTGAAGTGTGGTTACTTGTAATTGTGGGGAGACGTGGCAGCCACTTTGAGAACGAAATCTCACCAAAGAAAACAACTGTTCCCCTAAGTTGGTCAAATACAATGTTAATTTCAAGGTTAAGGGCAGAAGGTTTGGTGGTGTTTTGAGGAAAGAGTTTTTCATCAGAGGGTGGTGGGAGTCTGGAATGCACAGCCTGGTAAGCAATAGAGCCAGGAAATCTCTTAACTATTTAAAAAATAATGTGGATGAGCACTCGAAATATCATGACATTCAAGGCTATGAGCCAAGTGCTGGAAAGTGCGACAAGTGTACATTGGTCAGCACCGACTTGACGAGCCTCCTTCTGTGTTATATGACTCTAGATACTGGTTGAGAAATAAGTATTGGCCAGGACACCATGTTCTTAAAATAATATCGTAGTATTTTCTTACATCCACCTGAGACATCTTTAAGATTATACTTCCTTCCAAAAACACGCAGCACCTCCTCAGTACGAATGTTAGTCTGGATTGAGGAGTCCGCCTTGAATCCATGAACTTCTGTCTCAGTGGCCAGTACATGCCAACAGAAGTAGTCTTTGAAATATGAATGCTGCATAAAAGCTAACTAAATTGGATGATGCATGTCAAAAAGACATTGCTTTCAGACTCCAGTGGATATGTGCGTGTGCAAGGCAGATGGGCTGCAGAGGATGTGAGAATGGTTCAGGGCAGATGAATGTGGCCAAGTGTGACAGTGGATCACCTAACAGGAGGACCTACAAGTAGTAGCAACAATTAAGGAATAGCTTTCAATGGTAAGTAGAAGTACAATAATTTGACCATCTGTCTTGTAGAGGTTCTGTGTTCTAGTCTTCAAATTATTGCTCTTTGCCCATTGCACATTTACATTCTCAGTTAATACAAATAAGAGCAATTGAATGACCTTTCAGATTGCAAACTTCCAGCTTTCTTACTGTAGCAGTACATAATTTTTCCTTCATGGCATGGTTGTAATCATTTAAAACTGTTAAATTTCAGCTATGGTTCAGCTGTTACCATTATCACATGAATCCCAGGTTCAAGTACTTTTGCAATAAGTCCAGACTGCTACAACAATGCAATGCTGGGACCAGCTGGAGGCGCACACACCACATTGCGGTTCACGGGAGCGTGCTCTGCACAAACGGGCCACAGCGTTTCCTGTCTTAACACCAGTGACTACGCTTTAGAAATTACTTCATTCGATGTACAATGCTTTGAATTGTCTGACAACGACCAGAACGGAGCAAGGAAACACCCAAGTATTTCCAGTCTGTCTGACTTGATAATATGTCCAAATTGCAGCAGCTTCACAGTTTTTGTCTTTTAGTGCATCAAACAGGTCTTGCTTGGAGCAAGTGATCTTGGTGGTGGTCAAGAGAGTCTGACCATACCCAAACAAGATCTGTAGTCTGTACATGGCTTAATAAGGGTGATCTGAAACAGCATATAGTTTCTTTATTTTAAAAAAATTCCTGAAACTCTTATCTTTCACCAGCTCAGTCAACAGTGTCACATGTCTATAACAATGCATTTGTATTCCATCAGGGATTGCTTTACTATATCTGCATCTACACAATATTTATGGAGATCAGTCCTTCCTGCAGAAAGCTCTACAGTACGTCAATAAGAGTCTGAAATGTCTCACTGGGCGTGTAGTCACTTTCCTGTGTGGTGACGCAGGCCCGCTGGCAGTAGCTGCAGTTGTGCATCATAAGCTGCGGCAGACTCAAGAATCAGACGCTTACATCAATCAGTAAGTGAAAGCAACTTGCTCTAATTATACTTGGATTTTGTTGCCGGGTTATCTCTCTATCCTTGCAGCTCTATTCTATCTTAACCTGCACCGTCACTGTTGACCACTATTGACTTCAGTATTCCAATGTTTTCAATTTAAAATAGTCATCTGCAGGTTTAAATCTCTTTCTAGCCCTAATTTGCCCAGTCTGTGTGAAATCCTCCTGTCCTGCAACCATAAACTCTTGAACTCTTGCCCTATACTTGACTTCTTGCCACTCTTCCCTCATCACTCCGTCACTGAGGCATCCCGTCAAGTGACTGTTTCTTCAACAAACACCTCAATTTCCCTCTTTTTAAAATTATTAAGTAGTTTGTTGACCAAACATTTGGGCTTTGTCACAACACCCATTTAGTCTAATTAAGTATCTGAAGCTCCGGGGAAACTTCTATACACGATTAGTGGAAGTGAATACAAGACTTATTGAATTATCCCCTACACTTTTGAACCTCAAAATAGAGGAGCTTAGATTTTAAAATTTACATCCTTGTATTTCAACTCTCTCCTCCTTGCCATTCCTTATCTCTGTAATCTCCTGCAGACCTCCAAGATCTCTATGCTACTCCAGTTCTAGCCTCTTGCCTGTATACCTTATTGCTCCAGTATTGATCTTCATCTACCTAGGCTCCAGGCCTCCCATCTTTTATCTTCTGTAAACTTCAGTTTATCCCAAACTTTGTATCTGTATCCTAATCCACAACAAATCTCGTGCACCAACACTCCCGTGTTCAGTTCGGCTCCTGATCTGGAAATGCCTTTTAAAATTGTAGTCATCAACTCCAAATTTATCCCTCTCAATTTCTTCAATCCCCAATGTTGGACAGCAACGCCTTCAGCTACCTTGAGTCTGATTGGTGGAATTGCCAACATATATCTTTCCACTTCTATTCCCTCATTGTAGATGCTCTTTAAAACCTATATTTTTGACCAAGCATTGGCCATATGTTCTGATATCTCCCTGTGTGACTCAATACTACATTTTTTGATGTGCCTCCTACACGGTGCCATGGAATGAGCTCCCAACAGTATACGGGGTGAGCTTAATTTAAACACAAGTTGTTGTTTCTCCTTTGTAAGGGAAAATGTGCTTTAGGTATATGTCCTTTTTTGAATCTCGTGATAGTAGTCAAGGTAAGACTTGTTCCCAAACAAAAACCAAAGCCGCCTCTGTACACGCAGTAGTCTTGATCTGGCAGCTCCTGAGAACTTCCATGGGCTGGGGTTGAAACTGCAGGAGTGTTTTGAAATACTTTTGTCATCACAAAGATTTCTTAGTGTTATATATTGAATGTCATGCAGCATTTGCCTCAGCAAAATATACTTGGCAAAGAATACTGAGTAGGCTTTAATTATAAATGTATGTACTCAGCAAATTACTTCCTTTTAAGAGAACTATACTATTGTGAAATATTATGAAAATGTTACTTTTTTTGGTGGAGACCATAGTGAACAATTGTAAGGATCATTCTGGTCATCACCGTTATGTTTGTTCTTCTATCTACATTGGAAGCTGTTTACATATTAACACAGTGTACACACTGAATTGGTTTTGATGAATTAAAGGCTGGAATTTAAAAACATACTTATTTTGATCCCTGCACATGTTGACTGTTCAGTTACAACTGTTGCGTAGATGTATATTCTTTGGTTAATCTTTCATAGCAGTGGTGCCATGTGATTGGTTCAAAATTTTCTAATTTAATACAGGATCAAAACTGGCTTTAGTTTCTGAGAAATATCAATTCTGCATCATTAACTTCAGTCTTCTACACACTGCCAGCTCAGTCATTGCTCTTTTGGTCATGTGCAGTTTGAAACAACTCTGCCATTAGCCTGCTTAGAGTAAAAAGTAATGGATCCTTCTCAGTCTAAAGTAGTTCCTTCGTACTCCCCCCAACTCGTCAATATATAAGGCCCACCAATAAATAATTTCCCATGTCTGTGTCAGCTTACAGAGAGTAAATAGAGTTCAGCAGCAAGTTCCTCTGAATTTGTAAAGTTTATTACGCAGCGAACGTGGTTCTCTGTTTTTTTGCTGAGTTTGTGGATTTCAGCTGGGGAAGCAATGGGTTTTTTAAACTTCAAAAATATACTTTATTCATAAAATATCTTTATTTACATACATAGTTCCTAAAGCAGTTTGGCTCTGTACAGTAACATAGGAAACAAACATTGGAGTTTGACTCTATCCAACAAACAAACCAAAGGCATTTCTTACTTGTACAGTTGCTTCAACTGGCTTCTGCACCCAAAGGATTATTGGGCAAGGATCCCACTCTTAATCATTATTAAGCCAAGGGGAAGGTGTTTTATTCTAATATTTTCAAATTTTAAGAAAGAGGCATGACTTTACTTGCCTGCTTTCAGAAACTTGTATATGCTTGTGTCAAATCATATAATGATACAAAAAGCAACAATCTTAAAAAGAAATAAAGAATATGTAGTTAAAGAATGTGCTCATCATGCTTACAAGAAGAGCAAAAGGAGGAGTCATATTTTTTATTTTGTACTTACAGTCCAAATATTCGTGTTTTCAAATCTTTTTGCAAGTATTTCAGGTTTTACAATGTATTTCTTGCAGGCTTCTCCAACTACATCAATCTGTAGTGAAACTGAATTCAAGACTGCCAGATGAAATGCTCTACGGACGGATCGGATATCTATATGCGTTATTATTTGTTAATGATCAGTTTGGCACTGAAAAAATATCAATGCAGTACATGAAACAGGTAGTGTCTCTCTCTCCTTTTTTATTTAAATGATTATTTAGCGATATTAAAGTTTAAAAAAATCTCTGCCTTTCCCATATGATTTCTAAAAATTGAATCCTTGTAAACTTTCTTTTGTGTTGATATGTACAAGTTAATTTCAAAACACACTGTCCACTAATAAATGAAAAAGCACCAAGCTTTTATCTGAAGTCTGATGTTCTAAATGTTATTTAATTTTTGACCTTCCCTTTGATGTGAAGAAGTACTGGTAACATTCAGGAAAAGCATTCCTCATTTGTTGTTCTACAAAGTAATGGATGGTCAATAATGTTGATAGAAGTTACCAAACAAAACTATAAGTATTTACAAAGCTAACTATTGTTTGTACAATATTTCTTAGATATACTTTTTCTGAAGATTTCTCAGCTCTCTAACCTTTAGATATTGAAAATCCACTTGTATATCAAATACCTGAAGATTTGTTGATAGAAACCAGAAGAGTTTGTCATCCAGTTGCCCTAGATGTTTAAAGATTTAATTTTTTATAATCTGCCAGATATTGATTTCAGCAAGTACTTAGACATGTGCAGACTCTTGAAGTTCATGACGTTGGAAGATGTTAGAGAGATTAAAAGAGGCAAGGCTGTGAAGAAGAATTTTTAAAATCCAGATAATGCTTAACATATAAGTCACTAAACAGTGATCTATGACTGGAACTTGGTACAAGTTAAAAATGTGGGCAGCAGAAGTTTAGGTGACCTCTAGTTCATAGAGGGTGGAATGTGGTATCTGGCCAGGTGTGTGAGATAAATTGAGTCTAGAGATTATCAAAAGCATTGATGAAGGATTCAGCAGTGAATGAACTCATGTTTGATAGATTTCTGGTGCTGTTACATCACTAGAAATGCACAATCTTATTAAAAACAAGCATACATGGTCAATCTCCTTTTGAAGACCAGATTGCCTCACCCTGGCCTAACAGTCTACTTCGTCCCAAGACAGCTTTCAGGGGGAGAATTGCAGCCAGTGGTTAAGGACCAGAGTTTGTGATTAGAACACAATTTTAGTTGGGAGAAATGTTTTCTTGTCTGGGTATTGTGGCTACAGTGGTAAATGAGTACTTGCATCCATGTTTACCAATGTATAAACTTTACCAAAGCTATGGTGAACAATTAAGTTGCCAGAATATCAAATAAGTTAAAAATAGGAGTGACAAAGAAGGTTGCCAATAATTAAGAATTAAAATGGATACCACCACTCACTTCTACCAATTCATCTCCAAGCTGCACACCATCCTGAAATTGAAATTCCATTCCCTTTCTTTCATTCATTACCATTGGCCAATATCCTGAATACCCTTGCAGCACCAGGGTATGTAGCGCACGGACTGCAGCAGTTCAGGAAGGCAGCTCACCATCCAATGGTCAAGCCAATTATGAATCATCAATAAAAACCTAAAGAACTGTGGATGCTGTAAATCAGAAACCAAAACAAAAATTGCTGAGAAAGAAATCAAGAGTTAACGTTTCGCGCCCAGTGACCCTTCGGCAGAACAATTCTGATGAAGGGTCATTGAACTGAAACATTAATTCTGATTTCTGTCCACAGATGCTGCCAGACCTGCTGAGCTTTTCTAGTAATTTCTGTTTTTGTTATGGATCAGCAATGCCAGCCTAGCCAGCAACACCAAAATCCCAAGATGAAGACCAATAATTTGGAAGGTAGATGTTGGCAATTCTCATTTACACCACGTCTAGCTCCATTTTATTCTTGTTTCCCCATTCCACAGGTAATTAATCTCCCCGTTCTCTCAACACTATTGCTGTTGTTAGGGTTTGAACTAATTTGGCAGGGCAGTGAGATACACAGTAGAGATGCGATAATGGTGATGCACTGATAATATTTAAGAAAAGCCAGGATTGTCTGGCAGGCAGAATGTATAGAACAAAGAAACTTACAGCTCAGGAACAGCCCCTTCAGCCATCCAAGCCTGCACCGACATGCTGCCCACCACAAATAAAAACCCCTACCCTTCTGGGGACCGTATCCCTCCATTCCCATCCTATTCATGTATTTGTCAAGATGCCCTTTAAAAATCACTATCGTATCTGTGTCCACTACCTCCCCTGGCAGCGAGTTCCAGGCACCCACCACTCTGTGTAAGAAACGTGTCTCGTACATCACTTTTAAACCTTGCCCTTCGCACCTTGAATCTATGGCCCTGAGTAACTGACTCTTGCACCCTGGGAAAAAGCTTCTGACTGTCCACTCCCTTCATAATCTTGTAGACCTCTATCAAGTCGCCTCTCAACCTGTGTTGTTCCATTGAGAACAACCCAAGTTTCTCCAACCTCTCCTCATAGCTAATGCCATCCATACCAAGCAACATCCTGGTAAATCTTTTCTGTACCCTCTCCAAAGCCACCACATCCTTCTGGTAGTGTGGCGACCAGAATTGAACACAATATTTCAAATGCAGCCTAACTAACGTTCTATAAAGCTGCAAAATTACCTGCCAATTTTTAAACTCAGTGCCCCGGCTGATGAAGGCAAGCACGCTGCATGCCTTGTTGATGATCGTTTCCACCTGCGTTGCTACTTTCATGACCTGTGTATCTGTACACCTAGATCCCTCTGCCTATCAGTACTCTTAAGGGTTCAGCCATTTACTGTATATTTTCCATCTGGATTAAACCTTCCAAATTACATTACCTCAAATTTTTCCAGATTAAACTCCATCTGCCAAGTCTCTGCCCAAGTCACCAACTGATCTATATCCAGCTGTATTCTTTGATGGTCCTCATCACTATCTGCAATTCCACCCACCTTTGTGTCATCAGCAGAGTTACTAAACAGACCAGTTACACTTGCTTCCAAATCATTTATATATATATATATATATATATATATATATACATATATATATATATATATATATATATATTACAAATAGCAAAGGTCCCAACACTGATCCATGGATGCAAGTGAGGAACACCACTAGTCACAACCCTCCATTCAGAAACTTACTCTTCCACTGCTACCCTCTGTCTTCTATGACTGAGCCAGTTTCTTATCCATCTTGCAAGCTCACCTCTGACCCTGTGCAACTTTACCTTCTGTATTAGCCTGCCATGAGGGACCTTGTCAAAGGCCTTACTGTAGTCCATGTAGGTAACATCCACTGCCCTACCCTCATCAATCATCGTCACTTCTTCAAAAATCTCAATCAAGTTAGTAACCTCCCTTTCACAAACCACGTTGCCTCTTGCTAATATGCCCACTTATTTCCAAGTGGGAGTAAATCCCGTCTCGAAGAATCCCCTCCAATAATTTCCCTACCACTGATGTAAGGCTCACAGGCCTATAATTAGCTGGATTATCCTTGCCACCCGTCTTAAACAAAGGAACAACATTGGCTATTCTCCAATCCTCTGGGACCTTCCCTGTAGCCAGTGAGGATACAAAGATTTCCCTCAAGGCCCCAGCAATTTCCTCCCTTGCCTCTCTCAGTATTCTAGGGTATATCCCATCAGGCCCTGGGGACTTGTCTACCTTAATGTTTTTCAAGACCCCCAATATCTCCTCCCTTTTGGTCTCAACATGACCCAAACTATCTACACACCCTTTCCAGACTCATCGTCCACCAAGTCTTTCTCCTTGGTGAATACTGACGCAAAGTACTCCTTTAATACCTCATCCATTTCCTCTGGCTCCACACATAAATTCCCCTCCCTGTCCTTGAGTGAGCCAACCCTTTCTCTGGCTACCCTCTTGTTCTTTTATACATGTATAAAAAGCCTTGGGATTTTCTTAAATCCTGTTGGCGAATGACTTTTCATGACCCGTTTTAGCCCTCCTGACTCCTTGCTTAAGTTTCTTTTGACTTTCCTTGTATTCCACCCTTGTTTCATGTGTTCCCAGCGCCCTAGCCTTGATAAATGCTTCCTTTTTCTTTTTGATTAGGCTCACAATATCTCTCATTATCCAAGGTTCCTTAACTTGCCATACTTATCCTTCATCCTAATAGGAACATACTGGTCCTGAGTTCCCAGCAACTTGCACTTGAAAGCCTCCCACATACTAGACATTAATATGCCCTCAAACATCTGCCTCCAATCCACATTCTTTAGTTCCTGCCTAATATTGTTGTAATTAGCCTTCCCCCAATTTAGCACCTTCACCTGACCAACACACCTGTCTTTATCCATCAGTACCTTAAAGCTTACTGAATTGTCATCACTGTTGCCAAGCTGCTCACCTACTGAGTCGTTGACCGCCTGGCCAGGCTCATTCCCCAATACTAGGTCCAGTACAGCCCCTTTCCTATTTGGAGTATCTACATACTGTTTCAAGAAGCCCTCCCCTGGATGCTCCTTACAAACTCTGCCCCATCCACACTCCAAGCAATAAGCGAGTCCCAGTCAATATATGGGAAGTTAGAATCACCCATGACAATAACCCTGTAACTTTTACATCTGCCAAAATCTGCCTACATTATCTGTTCTTCTATCTCCCACTGGCTGTTCCTGAGCTCTACCCATATTGCCTCGCTGTATGAGCCATCCGAGGCGTCCTCCTGCAGTACAGCTGTGATATTCTCCTCAACAAGTAGTGCAACTCCTCACCCCTTTTACATCCCCCTCTATCCCGCCTTAAACATCTGTATCCTGGAATGTTAAGCTGCCTATCCTGTCCCTCCCTTAACCAAGTCTCTGTAATAGCAACAACATCATAGTTTCAAGTACTAATCCAAGCTCTAAGTTCATCTGCCTTACCTGTTACACTTCTTGCATTGAAACAGATGCACTTCAGTCCACCAGACCTGCTTTGATCAGCAACCACACCCTACCTGCTCTTCTCCTCCATTACAGCCCCTCCGCAAGCACCTGCTGGAAGCGGTGACTGTACTGATGCAGATCTTCCCCACATCAGCCACTCTGCTGCCCTCTTCCAGGTACTCTCCTTCACTTGTCTTGATGAAGTCCACCTTCTGGAAACTGAGACTGCACTGATGCTGATCTTCCCCACATCAGCCAATCAGCATCACCACTCTGCTGCCCTCTTCCAGGTGAAATGGAGTCTTAGAGAAAATGTTTACAGCACCGAAAGAGATCTTTTGCCCATTGTGTTCATATGAGCAATCAAATATCCATCTAGCTCCAATGCATTTTCCAACAATTGGTCCATAGCCTTGCGTGCTATGACATTTCAAATACTCATCTATATACTACTTAAATGTAACTTAAATTTTCAGACAAAGAGTTCCAATATCCAAAACCCTCTGGGTGAAAGCATTTTTCCTTAGAACCCCAAAAATGCTGATTCTTTACCATAAAAATGTACTTCCCGGTTATTGATATCTTCACTAACAGGACACCTTTTCCCTTATCTATCCTGCTTACGTTGCTCAGAACTTTGTACATCTCAATCAGATCCTCCTCAACATTCTCTGCTGAAAGCCTATCTAGTCTCACTTCATAGCTAAGTTGTTCCAGGCCAGGCAACATCCTGGTGAATCTCTTCTGCATCCTGTCTAGTGCAGTCACATCCTCCCCATAGTGTGGCAACCATAATCGTACGCAGCACTCAGGAAGGAACTTTCCCCTTTGATAGGGGGAATCAATGACAAGGAGGTTTCAAGGAAAAACTTATTCACCCAGAAGATTGTGGGAATTTAAAACTCACTGCTTGTAATGTAGAGGCAGAAACCAACGTAACATTGAAGAAGTATTTAGATGTGCTGTTGCGATGCTAAAGCATACAAAGGTCTGGGCCAATCTCTGGAAAATGGAATTAGAACATTTTGGTTGGTTGGTTGCTTTTTGACTGGTACAGATGCGATGGACCAAGGGCCTTTTTCTGTGCTATGGACTTGTATGATTCTAAGGAGGGTCCTAAAATAAAGAGAATGCTGAGAGAAGGAATTGCATAGGTTATGAACATATGAAACAGTAGCTGTAGGCCATTCGGTCCCTCAACCTTGCTCAGCCTTTCAATTCAATCACAGCTGATTTTATCAGCATTTAGATGGATAAGGCAGACTTTCTTTCAAAGATGGTACAAAGGTGCTGGAGGGGTGCAAAAGAGACCAGAAGCATCATCTTGGAGTACTGGGTATTACAGAGAAAGTTTGTGGAGGTGAGGCATGTGTAGCAGGTATTTGAACAAAAGTACCAAACTGAAATGTTGGGGAGTATAAAGTCCAGTGGGCTATTACCTGAATCAACTTGCATAACAAAACAAAGTGTGTGGAACACACTGTGGGGAGGGGACTTGATGGATATCTAATGGACCACCAAAAGGAAGCTGTTTCCTTGACTGAATGTTGCCAGTGTCTTTCTCCAGATCACCAACAGAAGATGAATAATAGCCTCTGACTGATATGTTTCCCAATGTTTTACTTCATTGATTGTATTCTTTGCAGTAAACTGTGATTTTTTTTTTTCTGTGTTTCAGGTTTGTGATGCTGTCATAAGTTCTGGAGAAAAGTTAAGTAGCAGAAAACGTATTTCCAAAAGCCCATTGATGTACGAGTGGTACCAGGAGTATTATGTTGGAGCAGCTCACGGCTTAGCTGGAATCTATTATTTCCTGATGCAAGTAAGTAATTAAATCTTAATCTTCTGATGTTGCTGAGAATGTGGTTCTGTGTTTCAGGAAGTGAACTTTTATTCTCCTTTTAAGCCAAATGTGACAATACAGTACAAGCTATCTAACATAAATATTCTAGCTGCTGCTGTTCAACAACAAATTACAAGTAGTAAACCCTGTCACAGCTCACTGCAGTAGAATGCTGGAAATTAAGCCCAGGGTCACCAATCATCTAAAATTTTAATGAACCAATCAGAAATCCCAATTTGTGTCTAACTGACTTTGGTCCCAGAACCAAAGCGAATCGCCCCAGGTTTTCTTCGGTAGCAGTATAAACAACTATTTATTTAACACATTTAACTTTAAGAAGAACAGCTAAAAGAGCAGGATTTCTAGACTTTTTTTGAAAATTTATTTGTGTGATTTGGGCTTTGCTGGCTGGACCAGCATTTATTGCCCATCCTTGAGAAAGGTGGTGATGAGTTGCCTTCTTTTACTGCTACAGTCATGTGCTGTCATTAGACACTTTAGGGAGGGAGTTCCAGGATTTTGAGCCAGCAACAGCTAAGGTATGGTGATATATTTCCAAGTCAGGATGGTGAGTGGTTTGGAGGGGAACTTGCACGTGTTGGTGTTTGCACGTGTTGGTGTTCCCACGTATCTGCTGCCCTTGTCCACCTGGTTGGTAGAGGTCGTTGGTTTGGAAGGTCTTAAGGATATTTGGTGAATTTGTGCAGTGCTTCTTGTAGATGGTACACATCACCTCCTGAGCATCAGTGGTGGAGGGCATGGATATTTGTGGATGTGGTGACAATCAAACTGGCAGAAGGGTGTCAAGCTTCTTGAGTGTCTTTGGAAAAGCACTCATCCAGGTAAGTGGGGAGTATTCCATCACACCCTTGATTTGTGCCTTGTAGGTGTTGGAGAGGCTTTAAGGAGTCAGAAAGTGAGTTACTTGTAAGATTCCTAACCTCTGGCCTGCTCCTGTAGTTCCTGTATATGGCTAATCCAGTTCAATTTCTGGTTATTGGTAACCCCAGAATGTTAATAGTAGGTATTCAGCAATGATAGTGTCATTAAATGTCAAGAGGCAATGGTTAGATTCTCTCTTGTTTCAGATGGGCATTGCCTGGCATGTATGTGGCACGATAGTTCTTTACTGTTTGTTAGTCCAAGCCTGGTTATTGTCCGGGACGTTTTGTATTTGGACGTGGCCTGCTTCAGAATCTGAGGAATTGCAAATGATGCTGAACATTGTGCAATTATCAGCAAACATCCCCATTTCTTCCGTTATGATGGAAGGAGATCATTGATGAAGCAGCTGAAGATGTTTGGGCCTTGGACACTATCCTGAGGAACTCCTGGAGAGATGTCCTTTAGTTGAAATAACTGACCTGCAACAACCACAACCATCCTCCTGTGTGCTAGGTATGACTCCAACCAATGGAGAGCTTTCCCTCTGATTTCCATTGACCCCAGTTTTGCATGGGCTCATTCATACCAATGTGACTTGATGTCAGGGCAGTCACTCTCTCCTTAACTGTGGAATTAGACTCTTTTGTCCATGTTTGAAACTAAGCCATCATGAGGTCAGCAACTGAGTGGCCCTGGTAGAACCCGAACTGGGCATCAGTGAGCAAGTTATCGCTTAACTTGATAGTACAGTTGATGGTGCCTTCCCTCATTTTATTAATGTTCGAGAGTAGACTGATGGGCGGTAATTGGGCAGGTTGGATTTGTCCTGCTTTTTGTGTACAGGACACATCTGGGCAATTTTCCACATTGTCAGGTTGATGTAGGAAGTTCTGGAGCACCCATCTTCAGTACTGTTGCTGGAATATTGTTAGAACCCATGGCCTTGCAGTATCCTGTGCCTCCAACCATTTCTTGATATCATGTGAAGTGGCTGAAGACTGGCATGTAACAAGCTGGAGGCCTGCATTTTTGAGGATGGAAATGTTTGTGGGACTGCCTCCTCCAGTGAGTTGTTAATTGTGCACTGCCATTCACAGCTGGATGTGGCAGAACTACAGAGCTTGGACTGATCCATTGGTTGTGGGATCACTTGGCCCTGTCTATCACTTGCTTATGCTGTTTGGCACACAGGTAACCCTGTTTAGACAGGTTGACACTTGCAGTTTAGGTACGCCTGAGGCTGGTCCTGGCATGCCCTCCTGCACTTTACATTGCACCAGGGTTGACTTGGTTTGATGATAATGGTACAGTGGGGAATGTGCCAGGTCATGAAGTTGCAGATTTGTGTTGGAGTACGAGCCTGCGGCTGTCAATGGCCTACATGGCCTTGAGTTGCTTTATCTGTTTGAAGTCTGTCCCATTTAGCATGATGATAGTGGCCACACAACTCAATGGAAGGTACTTTCAGTGTGGAGGTAAGACTTTGACTCACGAGGATTGTGCAGTAATTAATCTTACCCATACTATCATGGACAGATGTATCAACAGCTGGCAGATTGGTGAGGATGTTTCTCCATCTTGTTGGTTCACTGCCTCATACAGTTGGAGCAGCTATGACTATAGGACCTGGCCAGCAGTGCACTGCTGAGCTGCACTGCTGAGTTGAAATCCTCCACCCAGAGTACATTTGTGCTTTTGCCACCCGCTGTGCTCCCTCCAAGCTGAGTTCAACACAGAGGAGCACTGATTGACCAGGGGAGAACAGTATGTAGTAATAGCAGGGGGTTTCCTTGTCCGTGTTTGACCAGATGTCATGAGACTTCATGGGGTCCAAAGTGAATCTTGAGGACAACCAGTGCAACACCCTCCTGACTTTATACCACTGTGCTGCTACACTGAACTTGGGTCTCTCTCTACATGAACATAGGTTCTCTTCTCTTTCCCAACTAACTCATAACTTGCAGCAAAGTCTCTTTGCTTTACATGTGAAACATTGGCTTGTGTGTCTTGGATATTCAAGATTTGCTGTGCTTTGGCAATTTCTGTCATGTTCTTGCCAAATTACTTCCTCAGAAAACTTTAAGAGATTGTTGGAAAGGGTTATCCCTTTCTAAATTTATCCTGGTAACTGTTTACGTAACTATTAAGCAGGGTCAAATTAAACCATCCAATCATTTTGGTAGTGTATAGAATTGTACATGCTGACATTCAATTTTTAATCTTGCTTGTTGTTTTGACAACAGAATTATTTTCTTCTGTTTGTTTTCTTTTAGCCAGAACTCGGTGTTGACCAAGATACACTTGTTAAGCTGGTGAAACCCAGTGTGGACTATGTTTGTCAGCTCAAGTTTTCATCAGGAAATTATCCTCCCTGTATTGGTGAATCTAGAGATAACCTAGTTCACTGGTGTCATGGGTCACCTGGCGTGATTTACATGCTCATACAAGCTTATAAGGTACTGTGTGTGTGTGTGTGTGTGTGTGGATAATTATTATCATAGAAAAATTATAAATTGTGAGGAGGACAGTGTAGAACTCCATGAAGGCCTAGTCAAATTGGTGGAATAGGCAGAAAGGCGGATGAAGTTCAATCCAGAGAAGTGTGAGGTGATGCATTTTGAAAGCAGGAACGTGGACAAACAATATAGCATAAGGGATAGAACCTGGGTGTACATGTGCACAGATCTTTAAAGGTGTAGGACAGATGGAGAGAGCAGCAAGTAAAACAGACATTGGCCTTATTAATAGGAGCATAGAGTACAAGAATAAGGAGGTGATGTTGAATTTGTGTAAGACTCTGGCTAGACCTCATCTGGAGTATTATGTACGCTTCTGGGCTCCACGCTGTAGGAGTCGTGAACATATTAGAGTTTGTGCAGAAGAGGTTTCAAAGAGTGGTTCTAGTTATGAGAATCTGTTGAAGAAGTTGGGACTGTTCTTTTGGAGAGGAGAAAGTTATGGGGAGTTCTGATCAGAGTTTCCAAAATCATTCAGTACTGAATAAATAGATTGAAACTGTTCACAGTCATAAAAAGATCAAGAATGAGAAGGTACAGATATAAAGTGATTCGCAAATGAAACAAACACAGGGTGGAAAAAGAAACTTTTCTCATTAGCCAGCTCTCCAAATGAGTATCATGACTTAGTACCAGTGTCCTGCCTTTTCACCAATCCTTGGGTTTTGAATGCACTGCCTGGAAGCGTGGTGGAGATAGGTTCAGTTGAGGCTTTCAAAAGAGCATTATTTCTATTCACAGAATTATTCAATGTGCGAGGATATGGTCAAAGGAAGTAGACTGGTACTAGGACACAATACTCATTTGGAGGGCTGGTGCAGATACAGTGGACCGAATGGCCGCCTCCTGCACCAAATACTTCTGTGGTTCTGAAGATAAAGAAGAGTAGATCGAGGCGCTATCACACATTGGGACAATAGAAAGAAGCCAGTGTGGACTCACCAAGATTTTCTTTGAGCTAAAGAAGTACAAACAAGCAGAAAGTCTTGTATAATTAGTGTCATTTTTATCGGAACTGGAAATTGGAAGATGAATTGTAAAGGAATCAAAATATGTTGACGATTTTTAGTAATTAATGAGGAATGGGTTTAAGATTAAATGCAAGAAATTTACAATGAAGTGCAAGAGGAATTTTCTTCATAGTGATTGAAGATGGAATGCCTTAATAGAATTCAGCTTTGAAAAGAAGACCAAATCAATGTTGTTGAATAGGTTGCAGGAGTAAAGGGATGTTGAAATAGGCCATTGGATCAGCTTAGAAATGTAGTTGTCTCTTGCTTGGTATTCCTAAGGTATTCTTGAAAACCAGCATGCTTAAAAATCATTTTCCACTGAGAAACATTGTATAAATATGGGCGACTTTCCTGATCCATGATTTTTACATTTAAAAACCTACCTTGAACCTAACTGGCCTGAAAATCCTCTTAGCAAGTCTTAATGACTAACTTGTAGTACTGACCCTTTCAAATGCACATCATTTCCCACTTCTATCTTTCCACCTCTGCTGACCCTCGTGCTGCCTCCTTCCCTGGTTCCTCCTGCTGGCTGGTTCTCCCCAGTTATCCTGTTTGCTAACCTTCCTGCTCACCACTTTCCTGATGTTTGCTGTTACCCTCTCGTTTGCTGCTTTCTTTCTGACAAGCCATACACTCCCAGTGAGGACCCAGGAGAGGGTGAGTGAGAGTATCAGGGAGGGAAGCAGCAAACTGGAGGGTTGAGAGAAAGAGGGAGGGCCATGGTTAAGAGAAGATCAGGGGATGAAGGCAGCAAGCAAGAGGGTCAAAGAAAGTGGTAAGGGAGGTGGAGAACAGCACTTTGTTTTTTAACTAGACCAAGCATGGTTAATCACTATGCTTGAGCAAGAATGGTTGTGATAGTTGCATTGATAATTTACCAATCTCTCAAAAACATGAGTGCACTGTTAGCTTGCAGTTCGACCATGGACCATCTGGACTTGGCCTAGGGAAGATAAACAGAAATATATAATAATTGAGCTCAGCAGTCAGCAAGAGTGTTGCAAATGTCAGCTATTAATTTGTCTTTGGTGGCACCCATGCTCTACACTCACTGATGTTGGCATCTGGCAGTAAAAGGAGGTGAGGCACAACAGCATCTAGGATCGGGACTGCCATTTGAGACAGCACAAGATGCAAACCTTGTTTTGTTGGTCAGTATGCCCTATACTGACAAATGTAACGTAATTAAAAATCTCTGCTCACATCATAGAGCAGTAGGGCACAGACAGAGCTTATTCATTCCATCCGTTACTCCTCGACCACACATCTCCCTTCCAACATTTTTCACTGAGGTAGAACACCCAAATGTCTTAAGGCACGTCTGGGGCATTTGAGGAACAGAAGTGGCTCACTTCTTGCAGCATAATTGTATGATGCCATGTGCTATTCTTATAAACTCTTTATGTTTGCAAACAGATTTTCAAAGAAGAACGATATCTGCAAGATGCTTCTGATTGTGCAGAAGTGATTTGGCACAGAGGGCTGTTAAAGAAAGGATATGGACTGTGCCATGGTCCTGCTGGCAATGCTTATGGATTCCTGGCCATGTATAATCTTACTGGAGATAAGAAGTATTTGTACAGAGCTTGCAAGGTATCTGACACTGTCTCCTTATTTCGTGGAGAAACCTTTTGGACATGAGTTCAATCCTGTACTGTTGTTTTGCCAAACTGATCTGTAAGATCCTACTCTTTGTTTGTTGTCAGGTGGTAGTATTCTCCAGTTGACAGACTTTAGTCTGATTTTCAGAGTGTAAACTGTCACAATGGAAAACCGCAACAATGGGTCTGTTTGCAGTGGAGGCTAACATGTCTTTTCCACTAGTGGAAAGGGCAAGCAAACACCTCAAGCACCATGAGCCTCCTGGTGCTAGTGATAGAGAATGGGATCAGGGCACCTGATGTTTCCAGCAATCATAGAGCACATCAATTGGGAAGAAATCCTCTGACATAAAAAGGTTAACCAATGAAAGTCCTGTGTGGCCTGTTCTAAAAGTAGATCAATAGTTCTGCTTTTACTTATTCTAGACTATGTTTTATATTGACTCACAAGATGTGGGCATCTTTGGCCAAGCCACCATTTATTATCCCCATCTTGAATTGCCCTTGAGAATGTGGTGGTGGTGAACTGCAATCCGTTTGTTGTAGGGACTCTTTATGTGCCAGCAGGGAGGGAGTTCCAGGATTTTGACCCAGTGACTGAAGAAAAGGTGATATATTTCCAAGTCTGGATGATCAGTGACATGAAGGGAAACTTGCAGGTTGTGGTGTTCCCATGTATCTTCTGCCCTTGTCTTTATTCATGGTAGTGGTCGTGGGTTTGGAGCTTACCTGAACATAAAGTGAAGTCTGAGTGATCCAAGTGAATTAATGCAGCACAACATCCAGTATCCTCTAACGGTAGCTCTGCAAATGCTGAACGTTGTGTAAATTGATAAATTTCTGCAGTTTTCCCAACTAGTGTTGGCAATCGGAGAAAGCTGATGTCTGAGTGATAAGAGATCAGTTTCAGAAAATCTACTTGTCCTAATGTTTTAAATGAGATGGTAACTAAATCCAAGGGTTAGTATTAAGAGTGGTGTCTCTGTTAGTTGTCATTTAAACCAATGGGCTTTTCAAAGCTAATAAGTGCATAGAGCTGTAAAGTTGGATTTATTGTTGCTAATGAGTTTTGGCTTTCAGTTTGCAGAATGGTGTTTTGATTATGGGAAACATGGCTGTAGAACACCAGACAGTCCTTTTTCTCTCTTTGAAGGTAATTGACATTTAAAATCACTTATTATTTTAAAAATAGTATTAAACTGGCTACAATAAGGTGTAGAGCTGGATGAACACAGCAGGCCAAGCAGCATCAGAGGAGCAGGAAAGCTGACATTTCGGGTCTAGACCCTTTCTGAAGAAGGGTCTAGACCCGAAACGTCAGCTTTCCTACTCCTCTGATGCTCCTTGGCCTGCTGTGTTCATCCGGCTCTACACCTTTTTATATTAGATTCTCCAGCATCAGCAGTTCCTACTATCTCTTAAACTGGCTACAATGTGTTTCAGTTTTTTTCTAAACATTTCTTTACCATTCTACTCATTATAGGAGTAATAATTAAGACTCCAAATTAGAATACTGCATAATACACAATGTTTTGGCATTCTGTCGTATATAAACTGGAAACTGTTGCTGTTGAAAGTTGAATGCAAACAGGAGTGACTTAACCATAGTGAACAACCCTCTTTCCCATCTCCTCTGCCCTTACCTACAATGACATGCATCAGGACCAGAGTAGTATTAATAGCTGTATGTGTTCTTCCAGTTCTGGTCCTGGGTGCTTCCTGACTTTAATCATTCCGCCGCCAGCAGTCGTGCTTCAGCTGTCTGTGCCTTATGCTCTGGAAACTGCCTCCCTAAATCTTTTCAGCTCCCTTTCCTGCTTTAAGATGCTCCATAATCCCACAGCTTGACCACATTTTTAATCATTGACCTGAATATCTCCTTAAGTGGCTCAGTGTCATTTTTTAAATTTATACTGCTTCCTCTTCCCACTACATTTCTGTCTCTGTTTTGGTTAGCAGATGGGGCCAGGCCACATGACATCATGACCAAATGCAGCAAGGGTTTAGTCACGCCTTGGGGATTTTTACGTGAACGGCACATTGCCAGTGGTCACTGTTGTGCAAGATACTTCATACCTTGAAGCAACTTCTTGGTGGTGTCACAGAGCTGCTCCCCATTGGGTATGAATAGCACTGTATGGGCAGAGTTAAGTTAGGGTGAAAAGAGAAGTACATGTAGAGATATTACAAGGTGTAGAGCTGGATGAACACAGCAGGCCAAGCAGCATCAGAGGAGCAGGAAAGCTGACGTTTCGGGTCTAGACCCTTCTTCAGAAAAAATGTAGAGAGTAGTCTTTCAATAACATAACAGTAAGATTAGAGTCTAGTATGTCTCAGCTTACTATGCATAGTAGTATTTAGCACAAATAAGTAATAATCAGGGCTCTAAAGAAGCCAAAACTTGAAGATAGTTTTGATGTTGTATACTTCCTGACCAGTATGTCTGGAGCACAGACTTTTACATCTGGGCATAAATTCAGAGGATGAAAGAGTCATGTCAAAATTCTGATTCTAACCATAAGACGTAACAGAATAAGTCTGTTTGAAGTTCTGTTAGAATTCAGGGGAAGTTGCAGCAAATTCATTTGTGGAGTTCCAGGAGGAATTGAGCGGCAATTTCTTTGATTAGTGTTAGAAACAGAGGTTGAACTGCAAGAGTAAAGCAGCAACTGAAGGATGTTCATGTCAGCTGAGTGCTGCTCTGAGACGTTTGTCAAAATTCCTGATGCAACAAAGACATTTTCAATACAAATATTTATTTGGTGCTGCCACCCAGTGTTTTTCTTCAGAAATGCATGCTAAGAAACGCAATTTGAAGGACCAAGTTACATTTCTATTATTTAAGACTGATATAGTGACTGATATGTCAACATAAGTAGCAATTGCAACACTCCTGACAGATTTAATAGCTACCACAAGTAAATTCTGACACTTCTATGAAATGGATTTTTTTAACCAAAGTCAGAGCCTGTCTTCAGATTTGTCAGAGAGTTTGCAGTGAGCCATTCAGATAAGGGAGAGAAAACCTGATTCAATTGTAACTAAATAAATTGAAGAGTGAATGATTTCCTTTGTTAGTTTGCAAAAGAGTTTGGGAAGCTGAAGTCTGAGTGGTTAAGTGTATGTGTGCAAAGAATGCTGGAAATACTCAGCACGTCTGGTACCATCTGTGTGGAGAGAGGCAGTTAATGGCTCAGATAAGCAGCAGTCCCAATAATGGTAGATGCTGAGAACAGCATCACAGTTTGCACCCCCATGCACATTTATTCCTAAAACTGGCAACTGTAGTGTATCTCAGTGGGCTGTGGAGCAACCTTCAGTGATGTTCGTGCTAGGTTGCTTTATAAAATGGCATTCAGTAATTTGCACTCATTGCCCAGAGGCTATGCTTGTTTTCATTGATTCAAGGCACTAGTCAGACCACACTTGGAAAACTGTGAACTGTTGTGGACCCTTTATCTAAGGAGCGATATACTGGCTTTGGAGACAGTTATTAGGCTGATACTGGGTCTGGAGGGATTGCTTTATGAAGTGACAGTGAGTAGATTGAGTCTGTACTCATTGGAATGTAGAGGTGACTTTAATGAAACATACATTATCCTCAGGAGACTTGACAGAGTAGGTGTGGAAAGGTTGTTCCCCTGTGTGAGAGTTTTGAACCAGAGGGCATAATCCCAGAGTAAGGAGTCGCACATTTAAGACAAGAGATAAAGAGGAATTTCTTCTCGGAGAGTAGTGAATCTGTGAAATTCTTTACCACAGAGGGCTGTCGAGGCAGGTCATTAAGTCTATTTAATGCTGTAATAGACAGATTTTTAATAAGTAAGGTAGCCTAGGGTTATGGGGACAAAGCAGGTAAGTGGAGTTGAGGATTATCAGATCAACTATGATCTCAAGGAATTTGCAGAGCAGACCGATGGGCTGAATGATCTCCTGCTCGTGCACTGTATGATCTTATGATGCTGTCAGTTTGGGCAGTATGATCTTAGGAGTAGCTCAAATGAACATTGGAGATAGAATACATTCACCAGTAGCACCTGTTAAAACCATCAAATTACTTGCAAGGCTCTCAGTGAAGAAGTTGGGAAACTGTTTACCCTGAACCTAAAAGAGATTGCTTGTTTTTGTTTCAAAGCTCTTGTATTTTTCCACTGCCACCTTTTTAAAGTGCTTATGCTAGTGGTGTGCTAAGGATAGTCACTATTATTTCTCAATACAGGTTGAAAGGCAGAATCAGTCTTCTGACTGCTGCAAGCAGTTTACAGTGCAATTCCAGACTAGGAGAGAGAGGGGTAAAGATGATTTATGTGCATCAGATAGGGTCTAAATTTATTCTGTAGGAGCACCATTTAAGCTTTTCCTTGATAGTTTAAAGTCTTTTAAATTATTACGGGATTCGCAACTCCTATTGAAAATCAAAGCAGCCTGAACAAGGTTTATCCCAGAGCTGACACTAAACAGTTTTATTAAAATACTCCAAAGTTTACAACAGATTTCAAAAGTTTATCAAAGTATTTAAAATGATTGTAAAGCACACTCCTCCCTCTGAGTTGAAGACTTTTAAAATTTTTAATGGGATATGCACTTCGTTAATCGTCCCTATTGCCCTTGAACTGATTAGCTATCAAGGCCATCTCAGAGGGCAGTTAAGAGTCAACCCCATTGCTGTGGATTTGGCGCCACATGTAGATCAGACTGGGTTAGATTGGCAAATTTCTTTCCCAAAGGAATGTCAGTTTTTTTCAACGACTATCAAGAATGATTACATGCTCACCACTTTGTTAGCTTTTAATTCCACATTTTATTTAGTCATAGAACTGTACAGCACTGGAACATTCCAGACTCCTAATACACCCTGTGTAAAAAACTTGCACCTCTTGTCTCCTTTGAACTTGCCCCCGCTCACCTTAAATGCGTGCCTGTAGTTTTAGACATTTGAGTCTCCTTGAGCTCCCACATCCTGCAGGAGGAGCATGCCACTGCTTTAAACACCATCTCAAATGCTCTAAGACTAAAGAGGAAAGTTAAAAGCCGCTGCTCATCGCAGCCTCTCGAACCAACACATTACTTCTCATCCTGCTACCAACAAATTTTCGATAACGCATCTCTTTTCCCCTTTTTGTTTTTTGGTTACAGGAAGAGGGAGGGAGGGATACACTGGGCTTGTTTTCACTGGAACGCAGGAGATTGAGGGGCGATCTGATAGAAGTTTATAAGATTGTGAATGGCACAGATAGAGTGGAAAGTATGAGGCTTTCTCCCACGGAGGAGGGGTCACAGGGGACACAGGTTCATGGTACAAGGGCAAGTTTAAAAGAGATGTGTGAGGCACGTTTTTCACACAAAGGTGGTGAGTGCCTGGAATGTGATGCCAGAGGAGGTGGTGGAAGCAGTCACAATAGTAGCATTCAAGAAGCACCTGGACCACTACATGAATAGGAAGGGAAAAGAGAGATATGGATCCTGTAAGTAAAGACCGTTTTAATATGGAAGGCAAAATGTCTCAGAAGGCCAAACGACCTGTTCCTGTGCTGTATTGTTTTTTGTTCAAAACTGCACACAATACTCAAGGTGTAGCCTCACCAAGGTCCTGTATAACTGCAGCAAAACATTACTACTCTTGTACTCAAATCCTCTTGCTATGAAGGCCAGCATGCCATTAGGTTTTCTCACTGCTTGCTGCACCTGCATGCCGCACCTGCATGCCAGCCTTCAGTGACTGTTCCACCGTGACACCTAGGTCTCGTTGCATCTCACCTTCTAAACTGCCACCATTCAGATAATAATCTGCCTTCCTGTTTTTGCCATCAAAATGGGTAACCTCCCATTTATCCACACTATATTCCATTTGCCAAGTATTTGTCCACTTAACCAGCCTGTCGAAGTCAAGCTGCAGCCTCTTAGCATCCTCCTCATAGCACACACTGCCACACAGCTTAGTGTCATCTGCAGTTTTGACGATATTGCTTTCAATTCCTTCATCCAAATTGTTATTATATATTGTGAACAGAATTTCTGCACTTTACCTGTGACCCTTAGTTCCCCTATTGATCAAGAATCTATCTATCTCAGCTTTAAATACACACAAGGAATTCTTCCTCATCTCAGTCTTAAATGGGCTGTTTGTTTCTATGTGCTCTGGTCATTGATTTTCCCATAAGTGGAAACATTATCTCAGCATTTACCCTGTCAAGGCCTTCCTATCAAATCCCTTAAGAATCCTATATGTTTAATTATATCACCTCTCATTCTTCTAAACTCCAATGAGTAGAGTTCCAAGCTGTTTAGCCTTTGTTCATGAATCAGTCACTCCATACCAGAGATCATCCTAATGAACCTTCACAGAACTACCTCCAGAGAAATAATATATTTCCTTAAATAAAAGGACCAAAACTGCTCTCAGTACTCCAGATGTGGTCACATCAGCAGCTTATACAGTTGCAGTAAGACTTCCCTTCTCGTATACACCAAACCCCTTGAAATAAGGGCGAACATTCCATTTGCCTTAATAAAAACCGAAAGAACTATGGATGCTGTAAATCAGGAACACAAACAGAAGTTGCTGGAAAAGCTCAGCAGGTCTGGCAGCATCTGTGAAGAAAAAAAATCAGAAATAACGTATCCGGTGACCCTTCCCCACAACCTGAAACGTTAACTCTGATTTTTTTTCTTCACAGATGCAGCCAGATCTGCTGAGTTTTTCCAGCAACTTCTGTTTTTATTTCATTTGCCTTCCTGTTTACCTGCTGCATCTGTGTGCTGGCTCTTTGTCTCATGCACAAGTATCCCCAAGTCCTATTGTGTTGCAGCTCCCTGCAATTTTTTTCCATTTAAATTTTTAAATTTCTTTTAAATTTTAAATTTCTTTTGTTCTCCCTTCCAAAATACACAAATTCACATTTTCCCACATGCTATTTGCCAACTTTTGGCCCACTTACTTAACCTATGACTATCTCTCTGTAAACTGTTTGTATCCCTCTCGCAACTTGCCCTTCCACCTATTTTTATCAGCTGAAAATTTGACTACAGTACATTCGCTTCCTTCGTCCAAGTCATTAATATATATTGTAAACAGTTGTGGTCCCAGCACTGATCATCGTGGAACCAACCTGAAAAAGAAACCTTTATCCCCACTCACTGTTTCCTGCCCATTAACCAATTTTCTATCCACGCCTATGTATTACTGCCAGTATCAGGGGCACCTGGCTAATGATTTAAACTTTTCTGAGTTATGATCGCAAATGCTAACTGGAAGCCCAAATATGACCCAACTACTTGTTCCCCTCTATCCACTCCAGTTGACTTTTGCAGGAAAAACACAAATAGAGTTCCTTTTCATGAAGCCATGTTGACCCTGCTTCATTAGATAGATTTTCCAAATTTCTTGCTATTACTTCCTTAATAAATTATTCCAACATTTATCCAACAATCAATGTTAGATTAATTGGCACAGTTATCTGCTTTTTGTCTCCATCCCTTTTTGAATAGGAGCATCACATTAACAGTTTTCCAATCCTGTAGTACTTCTCCAGAATCCAAGGACTTTTAGAAAATTATAACTAATGCATTTGCTATTTCTGTAGCTATTTCTTTTAGGATGCAAGCCATCACAGCCAGAGGGACTTATCTCCCTTTACCCTTATTGGTTTGTCTCATACTACTTCTGTACTGCTGGTGATGGTACTTAATTAGCAGGGCGGCCCAGTGGCTCAGTGGTTAGCACTGCTGCCTCACAGCGCCATGGACCTGGGTTCAATTCCAGCCTTGGGCGTTTGTCTGTGTGGAGTTTGCACATTCTCCCCCTGCCTGCATGGGTTTCCTCCCACAGTCCAAAGATGTGCAGAGTATGTGGATTGGCCATGCTAAATTATCCATAGTGCCCAGGGATGTTTAGCTTAGGTGGGTTAGACGTGGGAAATGTAGGGGAATAGGTCTGGGTGTGATGCTCTTCGGATGGGTGGTGAGGACTTGTTGGGCCGAATGGTCTGTTTTCACACTGTAAGGGTTCTATGAATCAATTCCTTCCGTGTATTGTTTTGATGCTGCCATTCCAGCATTTCTGTCTTTACTTCAGATTTCCAGTATCAAATATTTTGCTTGAGTAATTTTGTCTTTTGATTGTCTGTTACTAAGTTTCAACAGTCTCTCTTTCCTATTTCATTAAAGGGATGGCAGGAACTATTTACTTTCTTGCTGACTTGCTGCAGCCCACAAAGGCAAAATTCCCTGCGTTTGAGGTGTGATTCAACCATGGTATCAGTGCACATTATTAGATCTGATGCATTGCTTTCTCCAGTAAAACAACTAATGCATGTTTCTGTTATGAACCAAGAACACAGAAGAAAATGTTGGAGGAGAGATTGTGATGAGTAACTTCACTTTACCTAGTACTCTACTCTTTAAGTGCTCCATTCCATAACTGAAGGTTTTCTTGCATGACGTAAATATTGCATTTTTGTAAAAGCAATAACAGTGGAAGAATGGTTTCTCTACTCACAGTGCACAATGTCTTGGGATGTATTATTGCAGTGTAAGCCTAGTACGTGACTTTTATTCTGAAACCATACTTGTGCACTACATATGCCACAAGCATATGAAGTCTGTTTCGCAGTAAATGTGTGATGCTGAGTACCTGCTATTTATACAGTCCTGGCAGTGATCCACATTAAACCATTTTTCCAAAGCAGTAATGTTAATTAACTGGTTTGTTTGAAAGACCTTGCACTGTTTGTGTTTAGATGTATTTTTTGAAGCATCTTTGTCAGCCATTGTCCTTCCTCTTTCCTCAAGGGTAGCACTTTTCTAAATGACTGGCTAATAGCGCAGGGCTTTATGATGGAGCTAGTGGTATACTGCACACGAGCATTTATTTTCCAAAGTGTGCTCAATATAAAAAAGTATTATAAATTGCTCACTACTTTAGTTCATTCAGTTCTCCATGTACTTTTTAAAGAGTTTTCTGGGGTTGTAGTAAGTTTCCATTTTATCTTAATATTAACATTGAAAATATGCCAAGTAACTGAAATTCTCCTTAGTTTGTAGTGAATTAATGCTCTTGTTCATCCTCTTTATATTAATCATATGGAACTTATCATTCTATAACCATACGTATTCAGTTTTGATTTTTGTTCAGTGGCATTTAGATGCTGGTGTTTTTGCTTGCTTTATAAAGCAATTAAACGACTACCATAAAACTTGCAGCTTTCCAGTCTTCACTGACAACTGAGTGTTTAATTATATAATATAGAAATTTGTTTCCTGGTCTGTAATCTGTGCAAAGTCATACTGCATTTAAAGCAAAATCTGTTCACAAAATAATCTGTGAATTAAAAACAAAATAAAATAAAAATGTTTCTGTTGTATGCTGTTGTTTGATATTTTGATTTTGAGCATGATATTGCACAACCTATGTTGTTGCTGTGTGAATTCCCTGTTTAATATTTTGAACTTTATTCTGGTGAAAGATATAGCATGGCTATTTTATTGATTTTCTTTTTCCTCATGAATGATGTAGGTAGTGGGAAATATGTAATGTACCTCAATACCTCTGGTGGTAACCAACCTGTTGCAAGACTCTATGCACATAGTACATTTCAGGTATTCTCCCATTTCCATATATTGTTTCAATTGTTTCTGAAATTGCTCACAGTCATCTGTAGGCTTTTTTAAAATACAATCTACATCCATCAGTGCAGATGAAAGTTTTGACTGATTAGAATATTAGCCTTCAGATTAAAGATCAATTCAATGTTGCACCCACCTCCAAAATGGAACATGCGTCTTGGGAGGCAAAAATAGATTATTTAAACTGACTCTTTTGTTCTTAATAGACAGAACTGAAAATGTGAGGGGAAAAAATGAAAATAAGGAAGGAACAGTGCTTTTGTAACTGTTTTGAGAGAAATAAGGTTAGCCCTGACATCTGAAATTGTAACATGTGAGCTGTCTTTTTCTTAAACAGCTAATCCACAGATTCTGCAATTCCCTTGACTTCACATCTGCTGACAAAGTTTATCTAGAAACCTGTGAGGTTCCACATGTAAGCTGACAACACCAGTCTACTGTCCACCTTTCCACTTGCTGGGCCATCAAATTGGTTGGTCTGGCATCAACTAAAAATGAATGGAAATATTCTCCAGTTCAACATTGGAAATACCAATGCCATTGATTTGGGTCCCCACCATGCATTCATTCCCTATCCACTTGTTCCAATATCCTCCTTGGCGCAGAAATATTTTGTTCACATCCTCAGCATCCTTTTTGACCCTGAACCAAGACTCTGATCCCATATCCCTTCTGTCACCAAGACTATATTCTTCCGTCTGTCTTGCATTTCCCACCTCAGCTCACCTGCTGTTGAAACCTTCATCTGTGGCTTGAAGTCTGACTTAACTACTTCACCCTCCATGCACTTTAAATTTATAACTTTGCTGTCTTTAACCTAACTTGTGTGAAGTCTATTCTTCTCACACTTCTTTACTCACTGACATATGTTGACTTTTGATCTTCTAACGTCTTCCAACTGTGGAATATTCCAAGATCTTTGTGTTCCTCCAATTCTGCCTTTGTGTGCATTCTTCATTTTCCTTCGCACCATCATTGATCATGTCTTCATCTTCCTTGAATCCATCCCTGAACCTTTCCACCAATCTGTCTCTTTCTCCTCTTTAAATACGCACAATATTTGTAAGTAAGTGGATGAATTATTTGCAAAAGTAGAAATAAACAAATATGACATCTTAACCACTACAAAAAAATGGTTGCAGGGTAACTAAGGCTGGAACCTGAATATTGAAGGGTACACAAGGATTCAAAAAGTGTGGAAGTTAGGAAAAGGTAGTGGGTTGGTTCTGTTAGTTTAGGATGCTATTAGTACAGTAGTGAGAAATGATCTTGGCTGAAAAAAACAAGATATGGAGTCCATGGTCCTGAAAGCCTGCTTGTCTGAGCAAGATTTTGGTTATAGATTATAATATGTCCATATGTCTTGGTGTTAGACTTGGTGTCTTTGCACCTTTGAAGAATTTTGGGATGCTTCATTATGTTAAAGATTGCAAGTTAATGTGGTTTATATATACCTACTGGGAATTGAGGACTCCCGTTTGCTCCTGCACATTCTCATATTATGTTCAAGATGAAACTCAGTGCTTATCTTTGTTTCATATTCTGATGAATGATCGCTACACAAGATGTTAGCCTACAAATATTCTCCTGACACTTATATTCCTGTGTAATTTTGACTCATTATTTTCAAGCTTCTAGCATTTGTTGTTATTTTGATTCTGTAACTCAATTCTGTAACCTCCTATTCTATAATTCAAAACTACTTTCCATCCATGTAGTGCATTGCAAGGTGTTTCCTTTCTTAGTGTTCTAGCCCATTAGTAGCTGTGGTCTTTAAGGTGCTGGTGTTCCCACAATGTTACTGGGTGGGGTATTCAAAAATTTTTACCCAGCAATTTATGTCCATTGTCTAATGCTGTTTTCTTGCTCATCTTGGAGGAGGTAAGTATCATCAAAGTGATCTTGGTGAACTGTCGTCGAGGAGAGAGATGGGGCGTCCAGAAACCACCTGAGTTTTAAAATTAAATCAAACCAGGGACATAGCAGTAAAGTCAATTGATTTGTTGGTGAGTAACTGCTGTTTGGGATGGTGTTTAAAGTGTTGGAATGTAAAGAAAAACGTGTTTAAAACCATATGATGAATTAAAAGACACTAATAGAAAATGAAAGAAAGAAACTAATGATTCCAGTATTTATTTCCCTTTTAGATGCTAAGCTTTATTGGGTTACTTGGGTTTAAATTAGTACAGTAAATGAATTCATGGGATATTAGCAGTAGTACTGGGGAAAGTCGGAGCTGTACTGTTGGGATGTACTGTATGTTGCAAATCATATAACTAAGGCAGGAAAGAAGGCTTTAAACTGAATAATGGGGAGATGCCAGAAAACAAAGGGAAACAATAGGTAATGGAACAGGGTAGTACTTTGCGTAGTGATAACCAGAGTGTTGCAAGAAGGGAATAGAGGCCAGAGATTGCAAAAATGATAAAAAGACAACATTAAGGCCCCTGTATCTGAATGTGTACATTTCTGTGTGTTTCACGGGTAATTACTAGAAGGGAACCTCTAATCCCATCATAGCAGATTGGGGCTTGTGTTTTGGTAATTGTCAGAGGAGTTCAGCCATTCTGCCTCCATTAACACTAAGCCTAACCATCTTCAGCCACTTCATCAATTACCTTTCTTCCACTATAAGGTCAGAAGTGGGGATGTTTGTTGATTCTTTCAGCACCATTTGTGACTCCTCAGATACTGAAACCGTCCACATTCACATGCAATAAGATTTGGACAATATCCAGGCTTGGGCTGACAAATAGCAAGTAACATTGATGCCACACAAATGCCAGGCAGTGACCATCTCCAATAAGACACAATCTAACCACTGCCCTTTGACATTGTTATTGTCACTGAATCCTCCACTAATAACATCCTGGGGTTACCACTGACCAGGAACTCAACTGGACTCACCGTGTAAACACATCGGCTACAAGAGCTAGTCAGAGGCCAGCTCACCACCTGACTCCCAAAGCCTGTCCACCATCTACATGGCACAAGTCAAGAGCTTGATGGGTGCAGCTCCAACAACACTCAAGAAGCTTGACCACTATCCGGGACAAAGCAACCTGCTTAATTGGCACCCTATCCACAAGCATTCACTCCCTCCCCTGTCGACGTTCAGTAGCAGCAGTGTACCAACTACAAGATGTGCTGCAGAAATTCACCAAAAGTCCTTAGTCAGCACCTTCTAAACCCACAACTACTTCTCTCTAGAGGGACAAGGACAGCAGATACCTAGAAACACCAACACCTGCAGGTTTCCTTCCAAGCCACTCACCATCCGGACTTGGAAATTTACCACTGTTCCTTTACTCCCAAGAAGGCAGCTGACTTCCTCCTTCTCAAGTGCACCCAGAGACTGGCAATAAATACTGGCCAATCAGTGACCTCCACGTCCCACAAATAAATTAAAAGAAAAAATGCTGGGCCTTCATAAATGGAGGGAGACTGGCATCATTCACACTGGTAGTGCTGTGTGATTTGATCAGATTCACAGAAAGAAAGGAGACATAGGGCAGGACGACACTTCAATTTGTGGATGCATCCCCAGAGGTGATGTTAAAATCAGTCAGAGGCAGTTGCTTTCTCTAGAGAATGGAAGGTGGAGGTTAATATATATCACCATCAGGCTACAGGTCTCACAGGAGTTGTGCCAATGCTGAAGACAATAGACAAGGATATTGTGGCAGTTGGGTGGGCAACTGTTGTGTCAGGCTGTTGCCAATGGAGAGATGCAATAGAGACTGAATAAAAATGTTAAATATCTCCCTGGCATTGACCTGAAACTGATATAGCTCCACATTGACCGATCTAAAGCATTAATAGTCTATGAAATACAGTTTGATCAAGACTGCATGTATTCTTTCCAATGGAAGCACCCCCAGAGCTGGATTTTATGTCCCCCAACTCCAGTACATTTGAAGGTACCTTGTAAATTATTGTGCCCATACTCCCCTCCCAGCCTCTCTCCCATATTACTGTGGGCAAGGAAGGAATCAGGCATTTTACGCGAAGTTGGGGAAGGCAGAGGCAAGTCAGATACCATGGCAACTTTTACCTCATCACCTACTGTCAGGCAAGAAGAGAGGGTACCATTTTCTCGGGGTGGGGGGGAGAAGTTCCCTACGTACATCAGAGGTATCCCTGCCTTTGACCAAGACTTTCAGCCTCTTGATCCAGGCCCCCTGATTCCCATTACAACCTCCACAATCCTCCAGAGTTAGACAGATGTGTCCAACTTCAGGACTCCTCTTTCTCCTCCTGCAGTCCCAGCCTTGATCCTGGCACTGGTACAACTATAGAGCCACCATCCAGTCTGATTGACCGGTGAGTGCCTCGCGTGGGATTTCTTCCCAGATGGGCAGGAGTTCCACCCTGAATCCATGCTGTCCCCAGTATCATCTCGCTGTTGGGCAGTGAAGTTTTGAGTGGGTGAGCTGACAACTAACATTTCAATATTTACGTCAGGATTTGTACAAAATAAATACTTGAGGAGAGGCATCAGTGGATACACTGTAGGCATTGGTTACTATTTTTGGATGCAGTTTAGTTCTTTGTGCTGAGTATGAAAGAGATCATTGGTGCCATCAGTGCTGTAACATGAAGCGTTTGAGAGTATGCCTACCTCAGTTGCTGCAGTTTCGTAAATGGATGTGGGCACACAGCAACGGCCTGTCTCTGACAGCAGTGGTCCTTTGATGCAAGTCACCTGGATGCTTCAACACTACATTCTAACGCAG